AAAGACACTGGATTCGTGCATTTGCATCCGCTCAATTGTCACACAGAGGCTAATCAGCATGCGTACAAGAAGGCATTCGCTGCCATCTCGTGGTCCTCTGAGAAATGTGCAGAAGAGAAGCGTCTACGCAACCAGCTTCAGAATCTGGATTCGAAGCTGAAGCAGCAGTTCTTGCCGCCTCAGGTACTGTCACACTCCGTACATGGGTTAATATTGTCGTTCTATCTATGTGTAACAGTAGGATACTTACACACGTATATGGATAACGGTATGTACACCCCTTGCGCAGCTGTGTGTGCATCTGAGCCAGTTTCTCAACATCTTTTGCGATCCGCATATACCATGTTCCTTCAGGAGCAGCAGGGATGTGTGTACGCCATACGGAACGTATTGGATATCCCCTACACCGACGCAGAAGCCACTCGTGATGCCAATGAAATCATCAGTACCCCAGGCCTCGCCAATAGTGCTGAATATATGGAGGTACGGGCATTCATGGCATATCTTTCTGCGCACGTGTACGCACAAGAGGTGGCGAATACCACTGCTCAGTCAGATACAAGCGCAGAGGTAGTCACCGACAGTAAGCTCGCTGATACAGCTGATAAGGTCAATGAAAGTGGAACTGGAACGAGCATGCGACCGTCACACTGGAGCACTGCTCTGTTCCGGGAGGTGTATCACTGGCACAATGGAAAGCCTCTGGACCAGCTGAGTCACTACAGCAGCGTCACCAATGATGAACATTACAGGGAATTCTACGACTACCTCGGAAGATCGCTAGCAAAGTCCTACAAACCCACGGAAATGGTCGACTTCTCGAATCAGGTATGGGCTTGAAATCTGTCGGGCGACACATGATATGTATTTCTTCTACTTTGGGAGAGTGGTCTACGCAGTCCATAGTTTTTCTGTTTAGTGTCTCAGACAAGTGGTTTGGTTATGGACAGCACCACTTTTGAGGCTACGCCGCCTGTCTGTACATAAGTATTAATGCTGACACAGTATCTTCACTGATCTGTGCAGCTGCACTCGTTCGCTACAGTGGTGAAAGAACGACTCTTCGAAATGGAGGGGAACAATGGTGCCACTTCTGAAGTCAATGTCTTGGAAGGTAGGCAAGTGTTGCCAAGGCATTTCAGTACTTCATTGTTGTCTTGCACATGTCAGCACTATGTCATTGCGTGTGTACAAAGGGTGTTTTCGTCAAGGTCACAGTAGGCGTTATCAACCCCAAACGCGGATCTAGCTGTTTTGTGTCCGCGAATGTGACCCTATACATAAATTTATATATATATATATATATATATATATATATATATATATATATATATATATATATATATATATATATATATATATATATATATATATATATATATATA